GCCCTAATCCTCCTACGTAACATTTAGATCTATCTACTAGATTTTTTTTTTCACCAGATTTTATTGCGCGTCTGATATTTTTCTTCCCCTCCAGAGACCAACCAAAGTTAGATGCGCCTGTGAGCGAAGAACTCGCAGCTCCAACCCCGCCCACCTTATTATCAGAGCCGCTAAAGAGAGCGGACGCTTGAAGGGAAGAAGCATCCTCTATCTGCTTTGAATCTTAGAACCTAAACCAGGGCCCATCTCATGGACATTTATTAGTGCTTAAACTATTCTGGCTTTTTTTTAAGGATCTGTGTCGGATAAACAACGACTCTATAAAGGAGACGTGTGGTGCGCCAGGATGCTGCTACTCAGTCCGATTTTCACTTTGACAGGAGTGGCAGTTGTTGGTGAGTAACGACTGGAAAGAAGTATTTTGAAGGACAGACACGTGAAATAATGTGACAAGTGGAAAAAAAATTGCGTTTGGCAGCCGTGCGTCTTTGCGCATGCAGCTTTTAGGGACTAAAGGAGATGTGCGGTACTCAGTTCACGCACTTCCAAAGTATGCAGATGTATTTCTTCCAGAAAATGTCCAAGTGAGATCAGTCTGACAGCTTTGTCTTAGAAGTTCTTTCTGAAGTAGAACAATGTCTTGCAAAGTGACTGAGCAAAATGTATTTTTGCACATTTTGTGAGGTAAAACCAGGGGTTTGGGTTGATCTAAGATTCATGTGATAGCCTCTAAGTGCTGCATAACTGTATGCCCCTAGTCTAATACTCACAAATGCCTTCAAATGTCACATTTTTAGCTTGCATGGTCCGAATTTGTCTAATAAATTTCCTCAGTGAAAATCTCAGAGGTTTGTTGGTCAATTGGAAATGAAAAGAATAAGACAGAACTGCAAACTTGCAAAGACATGGTATAAAACTGAAAAAGTATGCATATAATACTGCTCACACTGGAAAAACGATCTAGAAATAAGTTAAAAAAATCCTTAAATTAAGTGTATTAATTAACTTAATTTGCGTCGGTAATTAGTATTTTACTCTTAAAATAAGATAATTAGATAACATACACTTGAAATAAGACAATGCAATTGTGTTTTCTTATTTTAAGTGTAAATTGTCTTGTTCCATTAGCAAAGTGTCTCACTTACCTTCTCACTCCGAGAACAAATGCACTTATTTTAAGAAAAAATGTTTCATCTAGATTTCGATTTTCAGGACGACTATTAGTCATGCACTATAAATACCTGACCTCTGTGAAGGGAACACAGCTAACATGTTGAAGAAGATGCTCTGATCAGATGAGACCAGAGTTCGCCTTTTCACCCCCATCACCCAGGTCATATATTCACCATGGAGAAACACGGTGATGGCAGAATAATGATGTAGGGATGCTTTAGTTCACGTGGGAAAATTAGATGAATAGATGGTTCAAAAACAATGCATAATTGAATGAAACTAGATAGAACAGAATCTTAGAAAAAAATGTCTAAAAGGGGCAAAAGAGGCAGCAGGAAATGTACCCCAAATAAATTGCAGAAAAAGCTTGTGTTGCAAGGTAATTGCACAATAGTCACACTTTTAAGTTTTATGTTTAAATGAATGTAGAAATCCATACATTTCCTTCCATCTCACAATTCTACACATAAGTGTGTTTTGGTTTTCACATAAATAAAAGAAACAAACAATATAATTTGTTGTTGCAGCATGCCACAATGTAATAAAACCCCAAATAACTGTAAAAATAATTGTTTAGATCCAGACAAGTAAATGTATAGCTCTGAGTTTAGTTTATGTGTCATGATGTGATTGTCTTTGGAGACTTCTCAAGCTCAGATTCATAGCTGCAGCAGTTACTAAGCCCTAGGTCATGTCCAAGAATTTAAAAGTTGATGCAGGGTTACTATTTTGAGTACAGAAAGAAAAGAGGAGCAAAGCAAATAAAGTTGGTGTCTACTTCATTCTCAGATTCCTTTACTTTCATGTGATACTGTCTTGTGATGGTCATTAGAGAATTGAGTTAGGGATGCATTGATGAAAGTGTGACTGTGAAGTAATCAGTTTGAAAGCACATAGAAAATCAATAGCATCACACTAAGTCTGATGTATATTAGTTATTCATATCTGCCAGCTTTTCCAAACAGAACTATTAGATTTGTTTTAATCATATTATGTTTTGTTGAACCTATTTATAAGAGGTATTTCTCTTTTTTAAGTGAACAAGTTGATTCCAGCTGGTCAGTCACATCGTTACAGTTTGAGGCCATTGTTGACTTCTTTGGATTTCTGAGTCATTATTTAGTTTGTGAACAGGTTCTTTTATACACCAGGTATCATATCTGTATTGTTATATCTCTAGTGTTTAACTGCTTCTTCCTTTAATGGCAAACTCATTTTCATGAATTCAAAATGGCTTCTCTGTGAAAGCTGCAACAAAGATCTTTAATTTTATTTCAGCTTTGAGTCTTAGTGGTTCCTGTTTTGAGGAGGATGGTTTTGATCAGATGGCAGAAATAATGTGTTTGTTGCAAAAGGACATTGATTCCAACACACATCTAATCTGAATTTATAATGAATAAAGTAGGCAACGTTTTTGAAATGTGTAGGCTATTTTTATGATTCTAACAAATTAATATATATATATATAACTTTAGCACCAATTTGCTGTGTTCTATTCATGCTACCTACTTTATTTGTGGTGTGCTGCAATCTGTAGGAGATAAGCTATCATCTACTACTTCAAGGCTTAATTACAATCCCAACAATGCTAATCCATTAGTGCTAAATTCATACAGCAGTTAATGATAGAAATCTGCAAATTTATACTTTTAAAAACAGAAATAAGAAGTTAATCGATTCAACAAATGAATAATTCAAACAGTTTTTTTGTCTCTATAACTATTTTATATCACAGGAGAACCACACATGATTTCATTATCTTCTTCCTGTTTGTCATATGTTAAACTTTGAGGTTTGAAGAAGTTACTCAGAAATGTGTGCTCTGTATGCACAGAGCGCATGATGTGTTAAGTTCACACATTTGAAGGGACCTACTCATGTACTATGACTTGAGCTGCAACTAACCATTGCTTTGCAAATCGATTCATCTGTAAATAATTTATTTCTATTAATAATTGGATAGCAAAAGGTTCTGTAAAGAAGAATTTTAATGATATTAATCCAGGTTAAATTGAAAACTTTTCCACTTGACTTGTTCTGGATAGAGCATATTGACAGACAAAAATATTTTTTTTAATCTTAAATGCAAAATGTTTATATATTTATTTACAATTTGGTATAATTATTGCTTTAAGTGGGTTGATTTATGTTTTGGAGTCTGTATACTCTGGTTTACAATTATTCGATTTCTAAATTAGATGACAATGATTAATTAATCGATTAATCTGATTGTTTCTTGTCTAATTGTTTCAGGCTCTAACTATGACCTTTTGAATTTGATGCTCTTCATTTTGGTGGTTCTCACACTTGATTTCAAGGCTTTTTATTTGATTTCTCATCTGATTATTCCTGAGTAAAATGTGTTGTTGTTGGTGTGCTTGCCATGTGCCGTGCACCACACATTGTAGGACCAAACTTATGTCTAGGATTTTTTATCCTCATATAGAGTTTCTCTTAACTATAGAAAATCCACTGATAATTATAGGTTATTGGTGTCTTGAATAGGTGTAACAGTATAAACTGATGTTTTTAAGTTTTTTTTTCCTGAGCTTTCTGTTTATACATAGATAATAAAAACATGATTATGACATTGGATATCTTTAATACCTACCTAAAGATCTTATTTTAAAAATGTATTTCAGATCTGCCAAAAAAAACAACTTTTTAAAAATCCTTATTCTGATTTCTGACTTGGATTTTAAAAATATGCAACAAGGTGTTTTGAAGATCATCTCGCCAGATGTTAACCTTTTTCTTCTGATCTGGGAATTTGTCTTTTCTACTTGCATAATGTATCCCCTAAGCACATGGTCTACTGAAGTGGAGAGGCAGAGAGGATGGTTATTACACTGCAAGCATGGAGGTCAGGGGATGGTGCTCTTCAGACATTAAAGCTTTAGATTGAATTTATAAGCTTGGCGAGACTTTTTGTGAACACAGCCATCTCAGTCATTAGCAATATGTCTTGAACCCCCCTCCTCCTTGCGTTGACCGTATCTTTCATTTGAGTCAGCGCCCCTCCTGGCTTTCAGTGCTCTGCACTAATCTGTCTGCTGGCACCAGCAGACAGACTCTCTGGAAGAGTGAACAATTAGGTCATTCACTGTCAACTTACCTAACTCTTCCAGGTATTTAATTCATTATCTTTTAAAGAAACAACACAAAAGCTATCATTAAGATGATGAGACATTTTATGTCTGAAGCTCTAAGCTCAAACTGCGATATATTCGCTTTTATTTTTGGACCAAGGACACATTCTATGCGTTTTATCTCTAAGGCACTGCATTCTCTGGGCATTAGAGGAGAGGATGGTAATAAGTGAGCAACTCAACTGGCAGTGTTTGTACATTAGTGCAAATACCATCGGTAACTTCTGACAAAAAGCCATTAGGGTTAAACAGTATTATACATTGTATCGGAAAAGTATTTATCGACCTTATTTTTCACACGCTTCATTACTTTGCAACTACATATTGTAGAATATTATTTTATGATTTTGTCTAATGGACCATTAAAAGTAGAACACAGTTCATTGTGAAGTGGGAGCAAATTGAAATATTATTTAAAAAAATATTGTCATTCCCATCACCCTCCGAGTCAGTACTTTGTAGATGAACTTTTGCTGCAATAACAGATTTTAAAGCCTATTTCACTGAATTCTTAAATCTTCTAAGACATTTAGATTTAGTTGAGTACTTATTTGGATTTTAGTGTTGACTTTCACTGAACCCTTCTATCAAACACAACTTTGACCAGCTTCCTTGTTCTTGGTAAAATTCATGACACAGCAGATTGGTTCCATTGCCCTGTTTACTATCTTATGTTGTGGTTCAGCGGTTCAGCATTATTTGAAGTGGATGTTTTTTTTCAATGTATGTTGCGTTTTGTTTCTCAGAAAAAAAAAAAAAAAAAAGATTTACATCTTTTGGTGCAGTGGGTTGCTATGTTTCCTTGTAGCAAGAAGGTTCTGGGTTTGATTCCCGGGGTCTTTCGAGGTGTAGTTTACATATTCTCCCCAGGCATGCTTGGGTTTTCTCCGAGTACTCCAGGTTCCTCCCTCAGTCTGGGTTCTCTAAATTGTTCTTATGTGTGAGTGTGTGTGTGAATGGTTGTGTGTCTCTGTGTTGCCCTGTGACAGACTGTCGACCTGTCCAGTGTGTACGTCCATAGACTGCTGGTGATAGGCACCGGCCACACAACGACCTTGACAGGAATAAGCGGA